AAAATTTTTTTTTTTTTTTTTTTTTTTTTTGTACTGGGGATTGAACTTGGGTCTTTGCACCTGCAAAGCAGGCTGTGGAACCACTGTGCTAAATCCCCAGCTCCCTGAAAACACAAACTTTTTATGCCTCTCTCCTACTTTTAACCCTAGATATATAACACAAAGCTCAGAAATTATAGCTTATATTAAATCTCTAATATTGGAAAGGTGGATGAGCATAACTTACTGCTGCCCTATACTTCCTAGTAGGAAGTATGCCTAAAAATATCCCTGTTTGGAGTCTGGTTTGTATTTATAAGCTTACATTTAGATGAAGGCCCTGAGACGCTCATTCTGGCTGGCCCCCATGGTGGCCTGTGAAGGTAGCATTTTCTAGAAGATGGAATCACCGAGAATAATCATGTGGTTTTCTTCTCATTTCACATTTAAAATGTAATGAGTGTTTTCTTTGTACCTCAGTTTCTCCATATGCAAAATTATGGTTCTTTATTATCTCTCCTAAGGGTGTGGAAAATTTGGAATTGTTTTAATTAAATATTAAGTAGGTCTTTGTGTTTTTTCTGCCAAATTATATTTCTGTGATACATTAAGCCCTTACCTCTATCTAGGCTTCTTGTAAGCATTCTTGCCAGGGGCTGCATTTCTGCCGCATGAAATAAAATTTGGAAAGATTTTGAGGTTTCATAAGCTACCCGGTCAGCCAGTCAGAAGCTAGGACCTTTGTACTGAGCTACATCCCTAGCCCTTTAAAGATTTAAAAATTTTTTCCAGGCATGGTGGCACATGCCTGTAATCCCAGCACTTGGAGGCTGATGCAGGAGGATTGCCACGAGTTGAAGACCAGCCTGGCCTACACAGTGCGTCCTGTCTCAAAAAGCTAAAAAAACCAAACAAAAAATTTAACTTTTAATTTTTAATAATTTAAAAAATATATAAACTTCCATGATTCTCCCATACTTCTGATCTCTTTGCACCATGTCCAGAAATATAACACATTGATCAGAAATTACAGATTAGCTGGGCGTGGTGGCACACGCCTGTTATATCCCAGCACTCAGGAGACTGAGGCAGGAGGATCACTGTGAGTTTGAGACCAACCTGGGCTACATAGTGAGACCCTGTCTCAAAAAAAAAAAAAAAAAAAAAAAATAAAAAAGAAAAGAAAATAAATTGCAGATTATATTAAAGTTGCTAAATTGCCTAGGTGTACCCCAACAAACATACACAGCAGAAGCCAACTTTTTGTTTTTGTTTTGTTTTGTTTTTTTCTGTTTGCAGTATCATACGTGATCATCAAACTGCTGCTAGAATGTTCACACCTGTACTTCAAAACCCAGTGAAGAGTCTCCCTGGGAATTTATTCTAGGTCAGGGTCAGGCTGCCTAGTACAAGGCTGCATCCACCACCGGGGTGTGAGAGGGTTGTGTGTGTGTTCAACCACACAGGAGCCTTTCCCCAGACTAGAAGCCTACTTTTTAAAGGAGTATTACCTCCCAGGTTAGCAAATGGGAAGATGATCAAGTACCTGTTTTCATTTAATTCAAATTAGAACCCAGTCCTCCAGATGAAATGACTCTCTGCTCCTTTTGCCTCTATCAGTCTGACCATCTTCCTCTTAGGTCACTTCATTTTAAGCATGCAGAACTCTGCTCTTCCTTAAAAATGTCAGTCATGAATCTGCTTTGGCCTTTTTACTCCCTTTGACCTGAAGATAATATTTTTTCTTTCTCCTTCTTAAAGTGTTTGTTCAAGAGTCGCTTTCCCAGTGGGCTATATAAACTTCTGTATTGCTCACCTTTCTTGTTGCTGGGACAAAATACTTGACACCTACAACTTAATGGAGAAAAGATTTATTTTGGCTCAGTTTCAGAGGTTTCAGTGTATGAAGAGCTGACTCCAAGGCAGCAACATCTTGGCAGAAAAGCTAGAGTGGACCTGCTCTCTTTGTGGCAGCTGGTAAGAAGATTGTGTGCGCGTGTGTGTGTGTGTGTGGTTTTTAAAGAGTATGTTTTAAAGAGCACCAGCAAGAGATACACTCTCCAAAGGCAGTGATCCACCTCCAGCTAGGCTGTACCTCCTACCAGCACATTTAGTCTACAGATGAGTACAGCACAGCACAGCACCCCCTTATCTTGTCACCTCTCCAGGAGTCTTTTTTTTTGGGGGGGACTGGGAATTGAACTCGGGACCTTAAGCTTAGCAGGCAGGCCAGGGTGCCACTGCGCTAAACCCCTCAGTCCTCTCCAGAAGTCTTAGTACAATGAAATTGACAGTTAAAACTAATAATGCAGCTTTTTCCCCGTATCACTTTTGCTGCTGCTTCTCCATAGCACTTGCTGACTTCTAACATACTTATTTCCTTATATATTATGTGTATTGTTTATCATCTCCCCCACCTCTATCTAGAAGGGAAGCTCCACAAGGGCAGGATCTTTGCTGGCTTTGTCACTGTTGTATGCTCATTGTTAGACTGGGGTCAGACACGTAGTAAGTTTGGCAAGTGTTTGTTAAATGAATGAAATGCGGGGCCTGAGTTTCACCTTCTGCCTAGACTTGTCTTACTTATGTGACTATTATTACTGCATTGCATTAATCTCAGGATTGCTGTATTTTCCTTCTGATGAGCAAGGAGAAAACATCTCTTGGTTCTTCCCTGACATAACTAGGAAAGGCTGAAGAGTTCAAGGAAATGTTTTGGGTACTAGGAACTGTAGAATAACCAGCACAGAGAATGCAGGTATTAAAACAGTCTTACTTATGACTCTTGATCTGCTGTCATATCTTTCAGGTCATATCCTAATCTACCCATTCATTTATCATGAGAAATCTATTTCTAAATTCAAAGGACTAGTACTGACTTAAACCTGCCCTGAGCATCTCAAAGTCTGCCTTTCATACATCTTGATGGCTAGAACAAGAGAAAGCCTATTTGCTAGTTTGAGTGTGGTATTAGTGTGCTTGGGCTGCTGTAACAAATGACTACAGACTGAGTTATTTAAACAACAGATACTTATTTTCTTATAGTTCTGGAGACTAGAAATCCAGGATCAAGGTGTCAGCAGTGTTGTGTTTTGGTGAGATGTCCCTTCTTGACTTGCAGACAACTGCCTTTTTGCTCACCTGGCCTCTCCTCTTTGTGCAGAAGATAGGGGGAGGGAGCACCTTACCTCCTCACTTAAACTTAATATCTCCAAATATAATCACATTGGAGATTAGGCTTTCTATTAATTGGGGGGGGTTCAGTCCCCAACAGACACTTTTTCTTTTACCAGAACAATTAACTTTACACATTAGGTGAGATATCTCACATAATGAGATGGCCTTCGTTCACTTTTTCATCTAGCACTTACTGAAAACCAACCACACGCCAAACTCCCAGCCAGACATGGGCTGTTTTGGACCTGCCTTCATGAAGCTCACAGACCAGTATAGGAGGCAGAGGTAAACAGTTTCTAAGATGGGGGTGAGTAGGAGGCTTGTGTCTGTGTCAGGCAAAGTTTCTTTAAGAAAATCACACATGTTCTTGCAGCAAGTCTTTTGGTATGTCCATAGTTTATTACCATTAGCAGATGAGTCAGATCCTCCTTGTCATCACTGTCATCACCTTTCACATGTATAGTAGTAAGAAGTCAGGGTCTCATACTCTGACTTGAGTCCTCTTCCCTGGGCTTCACTGGGCCATCATTCTTCAGCTGTAGTTACTCAATCCCTTTCTTGGACATTTGCCTCCCAAACTTTTTACTTTGTAGTTTCAACAACCAGTGACTTTTGTCTTCATATCTGATTAAAAGCTATTGATTTGTTTTTTCTGATTTTTTCCTTAAGAAGTTTCGTGAATCCTTTAATCTTTTCTCATCTCCTAGCTGTCTGCTAAGACAATTCCTGGTGTTAAGTGAAAGCTGTTCCTGTCAGAGTCTACTGTTATCCATTAATAAATGATAAGAGAGATTGTCAGCCAGCACTAATACTCTGTTATGAAATTGCAATTACTGATGAAGCATTTTGTGAAGTTTTTACTATATAAATGGCACAAGTGATTTGATAAGTTATAGCTCCAGAGAGTTCCTCATATAATAAGCCAATATTTCTTTTCTTTCTCAAGGGGATGCAAATAACATTAAATGAAGTTTATCTTAGTTGCCATTCACTTTAAACTGTTCTGGTTTTCCTGCCTGTGTTCTCACACATTTATGAGAGTATGGATAATTGATTTCACTACCAGCATGGAGGGAATAGCCTTTTCCTGCCTTAATCTTACTGGTCTTGAAATGAAGAAGTACTTCTTATGTGCACTATTGCTCTGTTACCCCTTTGATAACTTCCAACATTTTTACCAAGTGCTTCCTTATTTTAATAGCACATCTTTACTTCATAGTACATTCCACAAAAAAACCTAATCTCACAGATATTCTCTGTGATCTTTCATTTCTGTAAGTCCTTTCCCTAAGCATTTTGTCTATGAGGTTATTGTCTAAATGTATTGTTCTTGTGTTGTAAACTTCCCAGACAGATAACCTGCTGTATAAGTTGAACATACTTTTAATAGCTTTTGTAATTGTGTAATAGAGGTTTGCCACTATTAAAGGTGTCACGATTTCATATTTATTTATTTTTTTGTTTTGTTTTGTTTTGTTTTGTCTTCGGTACCGGGGATTGAACTCTGGATCTTACTATGCTTGCAAGGCAGGTGGCAGCACCACTGAGCTAAATCTCTGGCCCCATATTTATTAAAGGTAGGAAAAAACAGAAGGGTAGGGAAAAAACAGGACCTGTAGAGAGAGTTTGGGCCAAGTAAAAAGAGAAAATACAGTGAAAATAAAAATTAAAACACACCCCACGGCATAGGCTGGGGTATTGTGAAGAGGCACAGTAGCCTAAAAAAAGTTTTTAAGTGTCTCTTTTCTTTCTTGTTTTCCTTCCTTTTACCTTTCTGTTCCACATTTACTTGTTCTTTCATCCCTCTGTCATCCTTTCTTCCATGTAGTATATATGTATTGATTACTTAGGTATTAGTTTTTGCATAACTTTCTTGGTCCTCTTGACTGTTGCCCTGACCCTAACAGATTTGGGGGGGTCTCCTTATTCAGTTTTTCTTTTCCATCCTCATATAGAATATCTTCTAATACTCTGAGAGTTATGAGGTGCAGTGTGTGAAATTTATTTCTCTGGTAGGTTCTTTCTGATTAACTTCACAATTTTACCTGCTTTGTTTTGTAAATAGGCCTATCACACAAAGACCATTTTTAGCATACAATTGAATGTATACATGATGCAGTGAATTGGAATAATTGATCTATTTTCTTTGTGGAAGTATTTTTTTTGTAAATTTGATATCAAAGTATATTTTTGTGTGTCAGTGTATTTTTCTATTTACATCCCTGTGAAAAGTCAAGTGTATTGACAGAGGATCTTATGCCAATAAAGCTGTTATAAAAAATGCTGAAGGTTATCATATAAATAGAAAATAAATATGATTTTTCTCTTTTTACCCTCCCTTTCTCATTATTACTGTAACTGACTCATTGTAACCTCAGAAATAGAGAAACCCAGGGCTGGGGATTAAGCTCAGTGGTGCTGCCACCTGCCTTGCAAGCACAGGGTCCCGAGTTTGATCCCTGGTACCCCCCCAAAAAATAAAGAAATAGAGAAACCCAGAGCCAAGGATGTAACTCAGTGGCACTGCACCTGCATTACAAGCCAAGGTCCTGAGTTCAATCAGCAGTACCAAAAAAAAAAAAAAAGAGAAACCCTCAAACAGTGCTCAAACCTGGGTTGTTTTGTTTTGTTTTGTTTTTTGCTTTTGTACTGGGATCAAACTGAGGACCTTGCATTTGCAAGGCAGGTACAGTGCCACTCAGCTAAATCCCCAGCCCAAATAGAAATGTAATGTGAGCCATCAATGAAGTTAATTTTAATACATTATTTTATTTGACCTGATATATCTAAAATATTATTTCAAAATGTAATCAATAGAATTTTCCACTGCTTCAGTTTTTAAATTTAACTTCACTGAATTTTTTTTTCCCTAGTACCAGACATGGAACATAGGACCTTAGGCTTGTAAGGCAGGCATGGCACCACTGAGCTAAATCCCTGGTCTAGCTCATTAAATTTTTTTTTTTTTTTTTTTTTTTTTTTTTGTACTGGGGATCAAACTCAGGCCCTGTGCTTGCAAGGCAGATGGCAGAACCACTGAGTTAAATCCCTGGCCTCATTAAAATTAAAAAAAAATTTTTTTAATGTAGTTTCTCAGTCATGATGTTGTGCCCAAGTCACGAAATCCCCAAGAAGACCACCAGGAAACTCTTCTGATGTAAATACACGAGGAGTTTATTGCAAGCTCGAGCCTGGACTCCCAGTGTCACCAATGCAGTGGCTTCCAACTGGAAGTCCTTATTCACTAAATTAGCCTATTTTTATAGGGTTTGGGTGGCTTGAAATTCTCTGTATTCTTTTGGCTTCTT